GGGTATATGTGGAATTACACCCCAAAATACATTCTGCTACTTCTACTGAGTATGGGGATACCACATGTGTGAGACTTTTTGGGAGCCTAGCCACATACAGGAGCCTGAAATCCAATGACCACTTTGAAAGCCTGAAGGTGCGTAACTTCCTCATTACACTTCCTCACTACCTATCACAGTTTCGAAGGCCTTGACATGCCAGGATAGCCCCAAACCCCCCCCCCCCCCCAAATGACCCCTTTCTGGAAAGTAGACACCCCAAGGAATTTAAAAAGAGGCATGGTGAGTATTTTGCAGATCTCATTTTTTTCTCACAAGGTTTTGAAATATAAAAAAAAATATAGAAAAAATATGTTTTTTTGTTTTTTTTTTTACTTAATTTTCCAAAAACTTGTGGCAACAAATGAGATCTGCAAAATACTTACCGTGTTTTTTATCAAATTCCTTGGGGCGTCTACTTTCCAAAAAGGGGTAATTTGAGGGGTTAGGTGCTATCCTGGCATTTCATGGCCTCCGAAACTGTGATAGGTAGTCTGGAAGTGTAATGAGGAAATAAAGCCCTTTAAAAGCCTGAAGGTGCTTATTGGATTTTGGGGTCCTGTACTTGGCTAGACTGCCAAAAAGTTTCTCACATGTGGGTACCCCCATACTCGGGAGAAGTAGCAAAATGTATTTTGGGGAGTAATTCCACATATAACCATGGCATGCTTCCTAGATTGTAAGCTGAAAGAGCAGGGCCCTCAATCCCCTTATGTTTTGCATTGTATTGGTATTGTTCTGTCACATGTTCTGTCCCCCTCTGTAATGTACAGCACTGAGCGAACTATTGGCGCTTTATAAATACTGTATAATAATAATAATAATAATAATGTGTGAGCAGTAAATCATTTAAGTGACAATTTTGTGTAAAAAAAAAATATATATATTTATTTTTGTCATTTTCCAAAAACTTGTGGTAAAAAAATAAATTCTTCTATTGATTCCTCTCAGCAAATAGTTTGGGGTGACTACTTTCCAAAAAGGGGTCATTTTGGGGGGTGGGGGCGTTTTATGCCCAGCATTAGAAGTTTATGCCACACATCATTCGCTCTTCTAACCACCTGAAGACCAAGCCTTTTTGTTCACATGAAAAAAAAAAATCAGTATTTTTTGCTAGGAAATTAATTTAAACCCCCAAACATTATATATTTTTTTAAAGCAGACACCCTAGTGAATAAAATAGTGGGTACTACAATTTTTTTTATGGCACATATTACTCGCGCAGCGATTTTTCAAAAGCAATTTTTTTAAAAACAAACACTTTTTTTACTTTTAATGCACAAAAACACAATATATTAGCCAATTGTTTGGTAAAATATAAAAGATAATGGTATGCCGAGTAAATAGATACCAAACATGACATGATTTAAAACTGCGCATGCCCCGTTTCAATGGCGACAAACTGCAAACATTTTCAATATCCATAGGCAGCGCTTTAAAAGCCTTTAAAAGCCACCATTTTAGATTTACAGAGGTCTAGTGTTAGAATTTACTGCCCCTGATCTGACGTTCACGGCAATACCTCACATGCATGGTGCAACCGCTGTTTACATAACGGCACAGGGTCAAGGCTTGTGCACACAGGTGTGCGCGCATGGGAGGGGCAATTTTTTTTTTTTTTTTTTAGTTATTTTGATTTTTTTTTATTATTTTTACATTGTACCTTTCATTTTTTTTTTTTAATCACTTTTAATGCTATAATAGGGAATGCAAATAACCCCTATAACTTCCAACGGGCATTGTCATATATTCTTTTTTTGAGAAATATGGGGTCTATCAGACTCTGGATATCTCTTCTGCCCTTACATTATCTAATCAAACCAAAATCGGTGTGATCAGATGCTTTCCCAATTTACAAATGGCGCTGTTTATTTCCTGCGAAACTGAAGTGATGAAATGCTTGTAGCTTCCGAATTATTAGACTATAGAGATGATAGGCACCATTCTGGTCTCCAATCAGCTCTATGGTCAGCTGGCAGAAACACCGGCTGCATTCTCAGGTTCCCCTGATGGCACGGGACTGCCCGAGAAGGCCGTGGAAGGCAGCGGGGGAGGGGGGACATCATCTCCCACTGCTTGTAAAAGCAATCTTGCAGCTAATTAGCCACTAGGATTGCTTTTACATGAAAGCCGATCACTGGCTGAAAAAAACGACACCATGATGATGCCTGCAGCTGTAGGCATCATCCTGGTATAACCATTCAAATCCAGTGATGTACCAGAACATCGCTGGTCCTTGTTGGTTATATATGCTATGTTCTTTTTTTTTTTTTTGTATGCAGCCTGTGGACTGAATGAAAAAATGAGAAGAAATCTCTGCCAGAAAAAGTGTGTGGTATGCCTCCCTGCATCCACCCACTTCTAATGGTGGGCACACATTAGGTCACACTTTGCCACAAGTGCCAGTTCCAAGATTGAATAAATGTCTAAATAGTGGCATGCTTGAATAAAAATTGTCCACGTATAAGTGGTACCCCATATGGAGAAATGATGACACCAAGTCCCAAACTATCTTGCCACTACTCCCCATGTAGTTTGGGCATTCGAGGGGCTCCACGTGACTATCTTTTCCCTTGTAAATCCGAAACTTATAAGTATAGCCTGTTGCCCTCTCTCACAGGTCTTCTACATCTTGACCCCATATCTGGCACGCTTGCAGGGGAGAAATTGTTTGAATGTAAGGCGGCCAGAAAAATTAATAAGGGACTCCTCAACGCAGATGTTTTGCTGGGGAGTATAGACATCTGCAAATTTTACGTTAAGGTGATTTGCAAGGGCTGAATTTTGTGGAGTCGGTCAAATTCAGGGTTATCCCGAGGATGACAGAGTGTATTGTCGCTGAAATGCATAAAACACATTATATACTCTCATATCTATGCCTGGCCATGGCAGCAGCAGAGAACACGGGCATATGATGAATCGGGTCTGCGGACCAATACAACCGCAATTCATTTCTTTTAGTAATGCCCATGTTGAGGGTTAGGCCCAAAAAAATGTAAATTTGAAAAACGTAATGAGTTTCCATGCGATTGGTCTGGCAAAGTTTGAATTTGGGTTGATTTTGCGTACCCATGCTGCCCTGTAGCAGTATTTCTGCTGTAGGGTGGTTAGGAAGCGGTTACAGAAGAGGTTTGTGTTACGGCGCTGCGTTACTTTAACTGACAATTGCGCAGTCATGCAACACTCTGCACCCAAATTAAATTTACATCCTTTTTTTCCCACAAATTGAGCTTTCTTTCGGTGGTATTTGATCGCCTGTGCATTTTTAATTTTGGACTTTTTGCTATAAAACATGTCCAGGAAAAAAAAAATTAAAAAATCAAATTTTGTCACAAATTTCATCCAAAATGCATTCTGCGACATGTCTTTGCTAAAAAAAAATCCCAATACGTGTAAATAAATTGGTTTACATGAAAGTTATAGCGTTTCCAAATGGCGGGAAAGATACTGGGATTTTTAATTTTTATTTATACTAATAATGGCGGCGATCAGCGACATTGGCGGCGATCAGCGACATATGGGCGGCGATCAGCGATTTATGGCAGGACTGCGGGACTGTGGCGGACATTTTGACACTGGGGGGAACTGACTTGGGTCACTGACATCCCCAGTGACACCAATACAGTGATCAGTGAAAAAAAAACCCACTGACACTGTACTAATGGCACTGGGGAGGAAGGGGTTAACATTTTTAGAGTTTACTGTGTGAGGGGAGTGTTTTACTAGGGGGCGGGGGTGTGTGCTGGAGGGGACAGGCTGATGAGGGAGAGAAACTCTTCTCTCCCTCTGCAGCTTGTCACAGCTGTCAGAGAACTGACACAGGGCAGGGCTGTGTGTAAACAATGTAGCCCTGCTCTCTGTCAGTGATCACCGCAAATCCTGGGGAAACGGCCGGTAATCACCAGCCGTGACCCAGCGTCTGACACCCGCTGCTGACACCCGTGGGACAGGTAGGGCGGGCGTGCGCCTCGCGCGTGCCCCCTACCTGTTTTGCAAAACTACGTTTTAAAACGTGGTTTTGAATGCCCGTGCCGCCCTGCTACCGTTTTAATGCGGTCGTCGCTGGGCGGCAAGTGGTTAAATATTTTTGTTTTAGGCGCTGCTATATGCCACTATACACATTTTGTAGATTATTTTAGGATTTGTTTAGCAATTCTTTGTTGCTGTCATTACACATCTTATAGCTTACCACCACTGCTGCACACTATATGAAGGGTATATCCCTGTTATGTTTTTAGGAATAGGTAGAGGAATGGCCTTGTCACCAAATACTGTTGCTTAGTGTGGTTTGGGTGTTTTGTATCATTGATCTGGTTTGTATTTGTAGTTTTCTGGTATATTTGCTCCCAATTCAATGCCAGAGCTCTGGGAACAATTTGAAAGCTATACATAGATCTCTGACTTCTGAATACAAGATGTGTGAGAACAGATCTGACGTATATTAAATATTGCTTTCCAGCAGGTGGACAGTGTTCTCAGAGTATAAATACATCGGAGGAACATCTTATTATATCTCCAGATTGTAAGGCAGAAGATACAGACATTCTACAGTATTCTCTACAAGTGTGAATTCCTATTGGTCGGTTAGATCAATGGATCCTTCTAATCCTGAGGAATATTCTGACAGATCCCATACTATGACTCCAGATGTTCATCTAAGATCAATAGATCCTTCTAATCCTGAGGAATGTACTTACAAATCCCATACTATGACTTCAGATGTCCATCTAAGATCAATGGATCATTCTAATCCTGAGGAATCTTCTGATAGATCCCATACTATGACTTCAGATGTCCATCCAAGTTCTCACAGTGCTGGCAGATCAGCAGATCCTTCCAATCCCCAGAAAACTTCTTTAAGCCATAAGGGTGTTCACACAGGAGAGAATTCATTGTCATGTTCAGAGTGCAGGAAATCTTTCACTGAAAACAAAAAGTTTCTTAAACATCAGAGAATTCACATGGGTGAACGTTCTTATTCATGTTCAGAGTGCGGGAAATGTTTCACTAGGAAAGACAATCTCATTACACACCAGAGAATACACACGGGTGAGCGTCCTTACTTGTGTTCACAATGTGAGAAATCTTTCATTGAGAAAAAGGAACTTCTTAGGCACCAGAAAAAACACACAGGTGAGCGCCCTTATTCTTGTACAGAGTGCGGGAAATCTTTTTCTGAGAAAGGAGACCTTGCAAAACACCAGAGAAATTCACACGGATGTGCGCCCTTATTCGTGTTTAGAGTGCGGGAAATCTTTCAAAACAAAAGGATCACTTTTAAAACACCAGAGAGTTCACACGGGTGAGCGTCCTTATTCATGTTCAGAGTGCGGGAAATCTTTCTCTCTGAAAATAATACTTGTAGAACACCAGAAAATTCACACAGGTGAGCGTCCTTATTCATGTTCAGAGTGCGGGAAATCTTTCATTCAGAAAGGACACCTTGTTAGACACCAGAGCGTTCACACGGTTGATCATCTTTATTCATGTTCAGAGTGTGGGAAATGTTTCAATGAGAAAGGAAGCCTTGTTAGACACAAGAAAATTCACACAGGTGAGCGTCCCTTTTCATGCCCAGACTGCGAGAAATGTTTCATTCGGAAAGCAGCCCTGGTGTACCATCAAAGAATTCACACGGGCGAGTGTCCCTTCCCTTGTTTAGATTGTGGCAAATGTTTCCCTCAAAAAGAAACACTTATTATTCACCAGAGAACCCACACAGGTGAACGTCCTTATTCATGCTCAGAGTGTGGGAAAGCTTTCATTTCAAAGAATGACCTTCGTAGACATCAGAGAATTCACACTGGGGAGCGTCCTCATTTATGTTCAGAGTGCGGGAAATGTTTCATTCGCAAAAGGCAACTTACTTTACACAAGAGAATTCACACCGGCGAGCGTCCATTCCCTTGTTCGGAGTGCGGCCAATGTTTCCTTGAAAAAGGAAAGCTTATTGTACACCAGAAAATTCACACCGGTGAGCGTCCATTCACCTGTTCAGAGTGCGGGAAATGTTTCCTTGAAAAAGGAAAACTTATCAGACACCAGAGAATACACACGGGGGACGCCCTTATTCATGTTCAGAGTGCGGGAAATGTTTCAGTAGGAATGAATATCTCCTTAAACACCAGAAAGTTCACACGGGGGAGCGTCCTTACTCATGCCTAGAGTGTGGGAAATCTTTCACTCAGGTAGGAGGCCTTATTGAACATCAGAGAATTCACACAGGGGAGAGTCCTTATACATGTTTAGAGTGTGGGAAATCCTTCATTCGTAAAAAAGATCTTGTTAGACACCAGAAAAAGCACACGTGTTAGCGCCCTTATTCACGTTCAGAGTGCGGGAAATGTTTTACAGATAAAGTCTGAGACATCAGAGGGAACCCACCTGCTGATTCTTTTTTTGACCAATGAATGATGGCTTTTACAGGTGGAACTGTTGAGTCCAGAAAAAAACTCTGTAGGATAAAAAATCGTTCTATAGAGGGGTACATCATGGGAAAATTGTTATTTAATCTATAGGTAGAGCTTGGTGGGAGGAGGAGAGCTGTCAGAGAATGTAGTGTGGATGGTGGGGGGAGGAGAGCTGTCAGAGAATGTAGTGTGGATGGTGGGGGGGAGAGCTGTCAGAGAATGTAGTGTGGATGATGGAGGAGAGCTGTCAGAGAATGTAGTGTGGATGGTGGGGGGAGGAGAGCTGTCAGAGAATGTAGTGTGGATGGTGGGGGAGAGCTGTCAGAGAATGTAGTGTGGATGGTGGGGGAGAGCTGTCAGAGAATGTAGTGTGGATGGTGGGGGAGAGCTGTCAGAGAATGTAGTGTGGATGGTGGGAGGAGAGCTGTCAGAGAATGTAGTGTGGATGGTGGAGGAGAGATGTCAGAGAATGTAGTGTGGATGGTGGGAGGAGAGCTGTCAGAGAATGTAGTGTGGATGGTGGGGGGAGGAGTGCTGTCAGAGTAGTGTGGATGGTGGGAGGAGCGCTGTCAGAGAATGTAGTGTGGATGGAGGAGGAGAGCTGTCTGAGAAGGTAGTGTGGAAATTGGAGGAGAGCTGTCAGAGAATGTAGTGTGGATGGTGGTGGAGGAGAGCTGTCAGAGAATGTAGTGTGGATGGTGGTGGAGGAGAGCTGTCAAGAGAATGTAGTGTGGATGGTGGGGGGAGGAGAGCTGTCTGAGAAAGGTAGTGTGGAAATTGGAGGAGAGCTGTCAGAGAATGTAGTGTGGATGGTGGTGGAGGAGAGCTGTCAGAGAATGTAGTGTGGATGGTGGGGGAGGAGAGCTGTCAGAGAATGTAGTGTGGATGGTGGGAGAGAGCTGTCAGAGAATGTAGTGTGGATGGTGGGGGGAGGAGAGCTGTCAGAGAATGTAGTGTGGATGGTGGGAGGAGAGCTGTCAGAGAATGTAGTGTGGATGGTGGGGGAGGAGAGCTGTCAGAGAATGTAGTGTGGATGTTGGGAGGAGAGCTGTCAGAGAATGTAGTGTGGATGGTGGGGGGGAGGAGAGCTGTCAGAGAATGTAAGGTGGATGGTGGGGGGAGGAGAGTTGTCAGAGAATGTAGTGTGGATGGTGGGAGAGAGAGCTGTCAGAGAATGTAGTGTGGATGGTGGTGGAGGAGAGCTGTCAGAGAATGTAGTGTGGATGGTGGAGGAGAGCTGTCAGAGAATGTAGTGTGGATGGTGGTGGAGGAAAGCTGTCTGAGAAGGTAGTGTGGAAATTGGAGGAGAGCTGTCAGAGAATGTAGTGTGGATGGAGGAGAGCTGTCAGAGAATGTAGTGTGTGTGGATGGTGGGGGGAGGAGAGCTGTCTGAGAAGGTAGTGTGAAAATTGGAGGAGAGCTGTCAGAGAATGTAGTGTGGATGGAGGAGAGCTGTCAGAGAATGTAGTGTGGATGGTGGAGGAGAGATGTCAGAGAATGTAGCGTGGATGGTGGGAGGAGAGCTGTCAGAGAATGTAGTGTGGATGGGGGAGGAGAGCTGTCAGAGAATGTAGTGTGGATGGTGGGGGAGGAGAGCTGTCAGAGAATGTAGTGTGGATGGTGGGGGGAGGAGTGCTTTCAGAGTAGTGTGTGGATGGTGGACGAGAGCTGTTGGAGAATGTAGTGTGGATGGAGGAGGAGAGCTGTCAGAGAATGTAGTGTGGATGGTGGGGGGAGGAGTGCTGTCAGAGTAGTGTGGATGGTGGAGGACAGCTGTCAGAGAATGTAGTGTGGATGGAGGAGGATGAGCTGTCAGAGAAATGTAGTGTGGATGGTGGGGGGAGGAGAGCTGTCGGAGAGAATGCAGTGTGGATGGTGGAGGAGAGCTGTCAGAGAATGTAGTGTGGATGGTGGAGGAGAGTTGTCAGAGAATGTAGTGTAGATGGTGGGAGGAGGAGAGCTGTCAGAGAATGTAGTGTGGATGGTGGTGGGAGGAGAGCTGTCAGAGAATGTAGTGTGGATGGTGGTGGAGGAGAGCTGTCAGAGAATGTAGTGTGGATGGTGGTGGAGGAGAGCTGTCAGAGAATGTAGTGTGGAAATTGGAGGAGAGCTGTCAGAGAATGTAGTGTGGATGGTGGTGGAGGAGAGCTGTCAGATAATGTAGTGTGGATGGTGGGAGGAGAGCTGTCAGAGAATGTAGTGTGGATGGTGGTGGAGGAGAGCTGTCAGAGAATGTAGTGTGGATGGTGGTGGAGGAGAGCTGTCAGAGAATGTAGTGTGGAAATTGGAGGAGAGCTGTCAGAGAATGTAGTGTGGATGGTGGTGGAGGAGAGCTGTCAGAGAATGTAGTGTGGGATGTTGGGAGCAGAGCTGTCAGAGAATGTAGTGTGGATGGTGGGGGAGGAGAGCTGTCAGAGAATGTAGTGTGGATGGTGGGGGGGGAGAGCTGTCAGAGAATGTAGTGTGGATGGTGGGGGGAGGAGAGCTGTCAGAGAATGTAGTGTGGATGGTGGGAGAGAGAGCTGTCAGAGAATGTAGTGTGGATGGTGGGGGAGGAGAGCTGTCAGAGAATGTAGTGTGGATGTTGGGAGGAGAGCTGTCAGAGAATGTAGTGTGGATGGTGGGGGGAGGAGAGCTGTCAGAGAATGTAAGGTGGATGGTGGGGGGAGGAGAGTTGTCAGAGAATGTAGTGTGGATGGAGGAGAGCTGTCAGAGAATGTAGTGTGGATGGTGGGAGGAGGAGAGCTGTCGGAAAATGTAGTGTGGATAGTGGTGTGGAGGAGAGCTGTCGGAGAATGTAGTGTGGATGGTGGGGGGAGGAGAGCTGTCGAAGAATGTAGTGTGGATGGTGGGAGGAGAGCTGTCAGAGAATGTAGTGTGGATGGTGGGGGAGGAGAGCTGTCACAGAATGTAGTGTGGATGGTGGGGGGAGGAGAGCTGTCAGAAAATGTAGTGTGGATGGTGGGAGGAGGAGAGCTGTCAGAGAATGTAGTGTGGATGGTGGGGGGGAGGAGAGCTGTCAGAGAATGTAGTGTGAATGGTGGGAGGAGAGCTGTCAGAGAATGTAGTGTGGATGGTGGGAGGAGAGCTGTCAGAGAATGTAGTGTGGATGGTGGTGGAGGAGAGCTGTCAGAGAGAATGTAGTGTGGAAATTGGAGGAGAGCTGTCGGAGAATGTAGTGTGGATGGTGGTGGAGGAGAGCTGTCAGAGAATGTAGTGTGGATGATGGGGGGGAGGAGAGCTGAAAGAGAATGTAGTGTGGATGGTGGGTGGAGGAGAGCTGTCAGAGAATGTAGTGTTGATGGTGGGGGGAGGAGAGCTGTCAGAGAATGTAGTGTGGATGGTGTGGGAGGAGAGCTGTCAGAGAATGTGTAGTGTGGATGTTGGGAGGAGAGCTGTCAGAGAATGTAGTGTGGATGGAGGAGAGCTGTCAGAGAATGTAGTGTGGATGGTGGGGGGAGGAGAGTTGTCAGAGAATGTAGTGTGGATGGTGGGAGGAGGAGAGCTGTCGGAAAATGTAGTGTGGATGGTGGTGGAGGAGAGCTGTCGGAGAATGTAGTGTGGATGGTGGTGGAGGAGAGTTGTCGGAGAATGTAGTGTGGATGGTGGGGGGAGGAGAGCTGTCGGAGAATGTAGTGTGGATGGTGGAGGAGAGCTGTCTGAGAATGTAGTGTGGATGGTGGGAGAGAGCTGTCGGAGAATGTAGTGTGGATGGTGGGGGAGGAGAGCTGTCACAGAATGTAGTGTGGATGGTGGGGGGAGGAGAGCTGTCAGAGAATGTAGTGTGGATGGTGGGGGAGGAGAGCTGTCAGAGAATGTAGTGTGGATGATGGGGGGAGGAGAGCTGTCACAGAATGTAGTGTGGATGGTGGGAGGAGGAGAGTTGTCAGAGAATG